ACGCCACCCTCGGCCTCGAGCCACTTATGAATAAAATCATGTTCCTCTTGATTTTTTCTCTGGAATTTAAAGTAAAAACATTAGCAGGTGCCCTCATCGGCCACCTTAGAGCGAAAGGCTCAGGTATGGACGACGGGGCCCCTTGCATTTGCAGCCTACGATCGACAAGATCAGGCGTTCCATTGTATTTTGTATCAGCGAAGGGCTCAGGTCTAGCTGAGAGAGCACATCGTCCTGGCCCCGTAAGCCTAGAAGTGAAACACTCAGGTATGGCCGACGATGTCCCCAGGACGGGGGGCCCGCAAACGGCCCACGTCTTGAAACAGGAAGCTCACCGCGTCGTCCAAGGCTTGGGAGCTCAGCCCGTATTTTCTTTATAAATACTCCCCTTGGGAGTAGTTATAGGGGTTACAAATTCATTCTATTGAAGCATATATTGCACTTCTCTCTCTAGCTCTCACCTCTCTCTAGATATACTCTATCATCATGCATGTAACTTACTCGAATGAAAAAGTTAAGAACTGGTTAGGGCAGAGGAGTAGCTTGGGGGTCTTATTAGGTCTGTATTTTTAATGGTCCAAATTTGAAAAAGTGATCATGAAATAGTTAAGAATTTGTCCTAATGGTCTAAATTTGAAAAATGTCTGTATTTCTATCTTAAAACAAGATGTAAAAAATCTGACTAAGTACTGGGATAGGGCACCTGCTTTTAGTGTGGATTTATGATACCATTTTTTCTATTTGGACATGTAAATCTAAGGGAAAAATAATTAAAATATATAACACAAACTTTGAAGGACTGTGAGATAAACATCTCATACTTGCATATGTAATTTAAATACTCCAAATTTTATATATAAAGTTATTTTGACACCATAGTCAAATATTATTTCTTTCATAAATGTAAATATATTGTGTTAATTGCATAATTTAAAATATTTTTGAATTCATGAAGACACGATTAACATTATAAACTTTCATTGCAAAATAAATAATGTTACCCCCAATCTATATAATTGCAACACTTTTAATTTGTTGTTTTAAATTATGCAATTAACCCCATAAGTTTACATTTTTTAAAGAAATATTACACGACAATGGTGCAAAAATAACTTTTTATATAAAGTTTGGGCTATTTAAATTACATACGCAAGTTTGGGATGTTTACTTCACACCCCATCAAAGTTTGGAGTATTTTTATTAATTCTCCTTAAATATAACTATATAAGCTTCATAATATATTTTTCCCAAATTAAATTCCTTCACTTCCTATTTGTTTGTTCAAAGAAAGGAAGGACGTACACTGCGAAATGTAGTAAGATTTGAGCCAACGAATAGTGAAATGATAGAATTTGTAGACTTCAGTTGATTAAGGAATAGCCAAATGAGACAAATTGTGTTCTTTTTTGTAAAACTAACATGTCAGAAGTGATGAATAATAAAGTGTGATAATGTGTATCTATTTATTGAAACAACTAAGGTCGTGGAAAACGTTTATTATGTCCAAGTAACAAAAACTGGACCATAATCACAAAGATCGTGAATTAGATGAAGATGTATCTCATAGAATAAGAGCTGGGTGGATGAAATGGAAGAGTGCATCAGGATTTCTATGCAATCGAGGTATACCAACTAGATTGAAAGGTAAATTTTATCGAACAACAATATAATTAGGCTTGCATAAATGTATGACATAGAGTGTTGGACGGTGAAACAATGCCACATTCAAAAGATGAGTGTGACAGAGAAGCGTATGTTGTGTTGAATGTGTGGACATACCAGAAGAGACCGCTTGAGAAATGAGATAATCAGACAAAAGGTGAGAATATCACCTATAAGAGATAAGATGCATGAGTCGTTTGTGGTGATTTGAGCATGTGCGTAGAAGACCGAGTGATGCACCTGTTAAACGACTTGAGGCATGAGGAGAAGAGACGGAGAGGAGGGGGGGCCCAAATAAACTCTGATTAGAGGAATCATAATTGATATGTATCTTCTTAAGTTGGATGAGAGTATGACTTTGGAGAGAGTATAGTGGAGTGCGCACATCCTTGTGGACGATTGATCTCTTTTCTATCTTTCCTCCCTCGTTTTCTTTTATCGTTTATCTTCTTTATCTTTTTATGTTATTATGTTATTTTTATCTTCTAGCTTTTCATGCTCTTTTATCTTTTTATCTTTTATCTTTCTTATATTCTTATATTATTGTTATCTTATATTTATTCAACTTTATCTTATCCGTTTTATCTCAATTTTCTTCTTCTTGTCTGTCTTCTGTTTTTGGGATTACGACTTGGATGTTGCTGTAAAACTATATTTAACTTTGTTCTTCATAATTTTTAAAACTTAGATGTTCTTGGGAACTGACGCATGAACATATATCATTGAAATAGTATATAATCGCTAAATATAAATATATATTTTTTGAAAAGAAAACCACTCATTTATTAATAATAATGAAAGTAAACATAGACAAAGCAGAGCAATAACTCAGAACAATCATGGAGTGAGACATAGCACTGACTAGCCCCGTAAGGTCAAGCCAGATTGCTAACTTCGCACAATGGTAGGCTAGATGCAGACGAAGTGAGGGAGGGTAGATTCCATAGTCTTGATGTCTCCTTGTCGTTATGGCCGTTGTGGCCATTTCTTGTTGGTTCTTTGTGTTTGGCCGTTGTATGCCATTCACTGTGGACGAAGAAGGCCGATGTTCCTCTGATGGGGTTTGTTTGAGGACGATGAGTGTCCTGGCTCAGTGGCCGATATGTGCTCTTGATCCGAATAGCCGATGCGGGTGATGTTTCTTCTTTCTGGTCGTTGGCGGTTGCTTTTGGTGTCCTGGCCGAGGAGGCCTCATGATTACTTTCGTGCTTTAGAACGAAGCGGTGATATTCGTAGCTTGGTGCCTATCTTTGAGGACGATAGCGGCACCGATCCAGAAGAAGTAGTGCGTACTTTGACCTCATGGACGATTGTGACCCGAGGACGTTGGGTTCCTGTTTTCTTATCTTGGCCGAGAGCGGAGTGTGCGATCTCAAAGCTGTTGCGTGGCACGCGTCAAGGGACGTCACGCGTCACGTTTTGGGAGGTGAGTTATACTTCTTTGTTTGCTGACTTTGTTGCGGCCGAGGGTGCACCATTATGGTGCATGTATGGCATACTGTTGCTATAGTTGTGGACTTGGTGTGTTTTTGCATTTTTCCTTTTTGTCCTTCCTTGCATTCCTCAGGCCGGTGTAGTCCCCCAGTCCTCCACTGCTTCAGGCCAAAGAGTGAGCGAGGGTTGAAGGAGTAAGGTGTAACACTAGACCGAAGCGGGATCCTTGTATTCCCCTGAATCCAACCCCTTGGCGATTCCTGACAAAGGTAACCCTGTGGGAGAACCCTTGGATGCAGGTCGCTTTCAAGAAGTTATCATCAGGGTTTTATACAAGGCCGGTGGTTGTTGGGTTATTTTTGCTTTGCTGTTGTGGCCGTAGAAGGGGCCATGTTGTTTGCAGCGTGTTAAGCCGATATGGGCACACCTTGTGGTGTGACCAGCCGTTGAAATGATTATTGGCTGCTAGGGCCGATGTAAGCGTGCCCTGTGGAGGCAAATATTTCTTCTTGGTGTGGCCGTTGAATGCCTTGGCCGTTATGGATGGTGACTGCTGGTACGTTGGCAATGGACTGGTTCTGATGGAAGTGGGTCTGGCCCATCTTCTGAACCGGTGGCAGCTTATTAGGCCTTGGGAGTGGTGGCCGTTCATGTGGCCAATGGGGGAGTGCCACGTGTAGTGACCGTTGGGGGGGAGGTTTATAAATACCCCCCTCCTTCCGAAGGAACTCCCTATTGCATTCTGATATATCGAAGCGCTGCCCAAATTTCTAGAGAGATAAAGGCTTATTGTTCGAGTGTTCTTCAAAACTTCCAAACTTCAAAGGTCAGTTCATCACACTTTTCTCCTCTTTTTTATATCCTTTGCTTCCGTAATTGTCGATCTAGTGTTAGTCAAAAACCAACCGTAGATTTGTAGTAGTTCCCTTTAGGGCTCCGTTAGTTGTTAAGATGAAGACCCTGGACGAAGAGTACTACCCGTACGACGACGAGGCCTCTGCCAAGTCGATGGATTATGGAGTGGTGGAAGAGTTCTGGGAGGAGATGGAAGATCTGAGCTCCTTCAAATCAGGGGAGCCAGAGGACGATAGAAGTGCAGACGAGGAGGCCGCCTCATCACCTGAGGGCGAGGACGTAGGCGTCTCCCGCGGCATGGACGGAGCGTCTACTTCGGCTGCCATTCCTCTCAATGAAGGCACCATTGATGGATTATAGGGGTATCCAAGCATATAATCAAATGGAGGGATTGAGCTCAAGAGAGGAAGAAGATGATGAATAGTAGAATATTTGTATGGGGTATGCATTAAGAACTAGGGTTACAAGTCTCCCAAAGGGAGTATACATAGACAAATAATGAGCTGGGCCGCTAATATGTGCCCGATAGGCTCAACAACATAAAAGACTATTCTAACACATACAAATGATATATGAACTCTATAATAATACAAAAAACATTCGATAAACGTGTGTGGGCCGCAGTCCGGGCCCAATAGTTGTGAGACCCGGGGGTCCGAGTCTCTATACTCTATCACTTACTTTATCTTATTATTACCCAATTCAGCATGTGAAATCAAAATTTAGGTGTTTGATGAAAACGTTGGCTAATAAGTCTCATAAGCCTGGGAAAAAGATTGCCAAACGGGCTCTTATTATTTATCTTTGTTATTACATATAATTAATGAACAATTTTGTTTTACCATTAATTGGGTCTTTCTTAGCATAGGAAGTGAGCCAGAACCGAACACTTTTTCGAGATGAAGATAAAGTGGGTAACCAAACAAATTAAGAACAAATAGAAGAAAACATAATTAATGTTTCGAGACTTATTTAATACTCCGTACTGTATTAAATAGCTAATAATCTATATGGAATTAACCAATTCCCATTTGAAAGATGAACATAAATTTAATTTGATAATCATGATGATGAAGAATTCGGAGCGTTGATGAAGTATAAAATGGAAAATATCAGGTTGAAGCAGAAAGCCAATCCTACACAAGCGATTACCCCGTAATTGTGGTTCTTAGGTGAAACTCCTAGAAGGGCAATGCTCCCGAAGATGCCAAATGCGCTACAAAGTACACACATAAGGAGTGAGTATATAGTAATTAAATGACATTCAATTAAGTAGCAGAAGAAGCTGTAAAAATGTAGCGAATAAGTTATTAAATAAATGCAATATGAATTTCACAATATTCACATGTTCTTCTTTGACTACATTTTACTTATTCATGTATTTATATACGAAGTATAATTTTGAAAAAAAAAATTGTTAAATTTTTCAAAATCTAATTTTTTTAATTCTTTTACTAATAGAGAATTATATATATTAATGGTCAAAGTTTTGTCTTGATCGGCAAATGTGAAATGTTGACCCTTACATTTATTTAAGAACGGAGTAAGTATGTATATTATACATAAGGAGTAAGGAGCTCGCATGTCTTAGCTTACGAGTAGCTAGCTAGCTTGTTATTACGAAATGAAATTTGATATCAAACTAAGTATGAACTAATAATTAGGTGACCAATGCTTAGCTTAGAGCTGGAATGGCACATGCACACAACCTGTTCAAATCATTTATCATCGGCAACAACAATGGATTTAGTGAAGTGAATTTAGGGGTGCAAATCGGTCGAGCCGAGTCTGAATCCATGTAGGCTCGAGCCCGAGCTCGAAATATAGTGTATTGGCTCGAGCTCGAGCTCGGCTCGAACAAGCTTTAAAAATCCGGTCTCGAACTCGACTCACAAATATTGGAATGACTCGATTCGGCTTGATTGCCTTGATAATTTTGGTTCGTCAACTCAAAAGTTACAAGTTCGATTAGCTCGAAAGTACGGATTCAAACTCTAATGGCTCAAATACAGAGACATCTTCCCATGCAAAGTGATAATGAATCTTGTGCATTCATTTCCACATCTAATGGCTCAAAATGAGCCAAAAATGCACAAAATTCGACCAAAATCGCGGTGGCAATTTCGTAAATATGTTGCACTTTTTCGTTATCGCGAAAAAGTGAAACAAAAACACGCAAAAGTGCAAGCGAAACATGCAAAAGTGCATTTCTTCGCACTTTGCACGGGAAGATGTCTTTATATATATATATATATATATATATATATATATATATATATATATATATATATATATATATATATATATATATATATATATATAGAGATTTAGGATCACGTACAAAGTCATCTTAATTTACAAAGTGCAAATTAATCCTAGCCATCCATTTTAATGAGATTAACGGTGTATTAATTTGGAAGATCCTAAAATTTCTCCAAAGCTACCTAACCGCATGGAGTTGAAAAACAATAGGGATTACATCCCCACTAACGGCCGGTTGTTTGTGGCCCAATAAATTGTTACCATTGATTTTGTAATTTTGGACAGATGAGATGAATTTGTATTTTGTATCCGATCTTAACCCTATATATATATATATGGGTGATTTCTAATACAAAGGGATCTTCCCATGAAAAGTAAGAAGTGATCTCAGTCCTTGATCACTTTAAAGTGAATGGTGTAGATCAAATTTCACGTTCAGAAATACTAAACCCAAATGTGCAATACTTACTAGTAAAAGTGCATATATGATATGCAAATGTGGACATTTACCTCATTAAAAAAATTACAAATCGATTTTTATACTTCTTATTTTATTTCGAAGCACGATGCACTTTTATTGTCTGGTATTGCACTTTTTCAATACAACGATGCACTTTTACTTTAACGGATCCAATAAAAGTTGTACATATTTACCATATTGCCACCGCGTTTTTGCTTTAAAATTTGAGCTGGTCCATCCATTTTATCAATTCAAATGCCTAGATTAGTTCTTATTTTTCACCTAGGGATCACTTTTTATTTGAACCGATCCCTATATATATATATATATATATATATATTATCATATATATTACATATTAATTTATATTGTATATTAATATATTATATGTAGTATATATTAATATAAATATACACATATATAAAACTAGGCTCACAAGCCAGCGAGCCTAAAATTAGTAGACTCGTTTATGGCTCAACTGCTTAACGAGCTCATTTGCACCCCTAGAAGTGATCGATGGACTGATGGAGTACAATATAATATATATGAATGTATAAGAAAATTCAATATTCAGTAATTAGACATATAGTTTATTAGTCCATCTATCCCATTAAGATTGTCTCATTTTCCCTTTTCGGTCCGTCCGACTAAGATGGTTCAATATTAAATTTGGTAAAGTTTGTGTGGTTTTAAATCATGCTTATTTTGTACTTACTTTATCAATTCAATATCAACCACATTAACCACTTTTTATTGGTTTGCGTGTCACTCCCTCTTGTTTCATTGTTAGTGGGATGAAGGGATCGGAGTATATTAATATTCGAACTAATTTCACGCTAAGAGGTAAGGTTACATTAATTAACAGGCATAATCCCTAAGAGAAGCATGGTTTGTATATCGTTATACTTGGCAGGCCAGAGATCGGTGACTTAACATATATTCACCGCAACACACCGACATATATAGGACTAAAATATACAGAGGATAAAATTCAAAAATATAACTAAGTATGGTTTAGTCTTATATTGGACAATTTATATTATATTAAGTATATTTAATTAAGAATATAATAATAGTTTTAACTTAAAAGTTAACATGTGAGATGTGAGGATCTTGCAACCAAACAAGTTTTCCTTGTTCAGAATTACTTTATCCTGAAAATATAATTCAGAACAATAATACTCCCTCCGTCCCATTGGATTTTGCCATTCTTTCCTTTTTTGGTTGTCCCAAAAAATTTTACCATTTTCCCATTAAAGTAACTATTTTGTGGTTCTACTCGTTTCTCTCTCCTCTGCACAAACTTCAACCACACAATTTTTACTATTCTTATTTCTCAACTAACTTAAGTAGTGCAAAGTCCATTGGGACGAAGGTAATATAATAATTGTAACTTTTTAAATTTATGACAAAAAAGCTACTACGTAGTTGGTAGCAAATAAGGTTATTGTTAATGAAGAATGTTATCTAAAAGAACGTATACTACCTCTGTTCTTAAATAAATGCAACACTTTGACTTTTACACTATTCACATGTTCTACTTTGACTACGTTTTATTTATTAATGTAATAATATTATTTTATGAAAAAAATATTGTTAAACTTGTCTCATTGTAAATTTTCATAATCTATTTTTTTTAATTTTTTTACTAATACAAAAATATTTATATTAATATTTAAAGTTGTATTTATTTAAGAACGAAGGAAGTATATACCATGCGAGTAAACAATACATCTGAGCCAGTCCGGACCATTTTGTTTCAGGTCTGTCGGATTCTCGATGGCAACAAGCGTAGATTCCAAGACACACAAAAGCAATAGCGGCAACCAGAGAAGCGGATGTTGCTGTGGACCGAAGCACAGACCCCACCTGCGGCATTACATATATTCAACACATACCTACATGTTTGAATCGCATGCCTAAATAGATAAGCTAAGCTAAATGATCGAATGGATAATTTGAGTTTGCACCCCATTTTATTATTCAAATTAGACTTTGCACCTCGTTTTTGAAATCATTAGTATTTGCACCCTAGCCTCGTATGAAAAGTCAAAAATGCCCCTCGATCAGGATTATGTTGAAGTCCAACAAAATTGTTAATTGAGGGGCATTTTAGTCTTTTCATATGGGGTTGGGGTGCAAGTACTAAAGATTTCAAAAATGAGGTGCAAAGTCTAATTTCGACAATAAAATGGGGTGCAAAGTCTAATTATCCCATGATCAAATATATATATATATATATATATATGTGTGTGTGTGTGTGTGTGTGTATGTATGCATGCATGCATGCATGCATGTGTGTGTGTGTGTGTATGTATGTATGTATGTATGTATGTATGTATGTATGTATGTATGTATGTATGTATGTATGTATGTATATGTGTGTGTATATAGATAAGAGATCAAATACAAACCATGCTTAAAATACTAATCTACAAACTCAATAATATGCATCACTTTAAACTTCAATTTGCAGTAAAAAATAATGTAAAGATGCAGGGGTGAGATCACATACAAACTAGTCTTCCTGTTCAAATTATCTTTACATTATTTGTATTGCATATTGAAGTTCAAAGTGTTTCATATTATTCAAGCCATAAAATAGCAGTTTCATATTTACATTATTTATATTGCATATTGAAATTCAAAGAGTGTATTATTTGCACTGCATATTGAAGTTCAAAGTGTTGCATATTATTGAGTTTGTAGGTTAGTAAGTTAAGCATGGTTTGTATGTGATCTTATCCCTAGGGGACGGTTCCAGTAAGAATGGAGTTTTAGGAGAGAAATGAGAATAAAATCTAGCCCTTGAGATCGGTAATCTAATGATCAAGTTTTTTCATATGATTAGCATGATGATAGCTATTTTAAAGGAAAGTAATAAATGATACTTCGTATTAAATGGAACTTGAAAGCTCAACTCGTACAGGGGTGTTAGAGTAAAAATATGTGCATTTCTATTCATACTTTTAATTACCTAGAGTTCTTAAATTGGAAGTCATCTAGCTTATCTTGCAACTTGCCTTATTAAAAATTTTATCATCCACTTTCATTCTTGATTTATTTATTACAATTTACATGTGAGCAATAATTTTGTATTGGTAAGTGCACTAAATTTGAACTTATAATATGTTATGGACAGTAGTAAAAACTTATGCAAATTTTATTAAAATATTATGCAATGGATAAATGTAATTAGTGCAACAAAATTATATGCACACGTAATTAAATTGTAATGCACTTTATAAGTTTTTTACACTTTTAACGTGTATAATATAAAAGTGCAACATAATATCACATAAGTGCATTAACTAACCCGAGACATATATAACTAACGAAAATAGTTTATGAATTTCATGTGCACTTTTAGACCATTAAGAGCATCTCCAATGCTACATGTGTACGGGGCACATGTGGCATGAGAGAGATAGACACAAAAGATTGGTCTTATGACATTTCTCTCTATGTCTTTTCACGTTCTTGTGTGTTTTTGGTAAGTTTTACTCTGCAATGTCAACCACAATGTCTACATCTAGACATTATGTTTGACATTGTGAACAAAAACTTACCAAAATGATATATGGTCATTTATATAAGGAGAAAGATATATTAATTATTGTTTTCTGATTTACTATCTCTCATGTGACGTATGCACCGTTAATGTATTAACATTGGAGATGCTCTAAAGGTGCACTTGATATAATTAAAGGTGCACGATGTAGATGACAGCATTAACAAATGCATTTCTTGGTTATGTAAATAAGTATAAACATATAAGTCAATAAAAATGTTAAAATCTTGTATGGAATAAAAAATTATGCAGAAATGGAGGAAACAATAAAAAAAGGAGAGAGTAATATTATTATTATAATAAAGCACCCACTAAGTAGAAAAAGTTGGTGTTTGCTAGTATAAAGAAAGAATGTAACGGGAGTATGAATGACCAAAAGTGTCGGACATATCAAATGAGTATGCCACTTTACTAAAGACTCCTTGATGTACTATATTAAATTTGTTCTATTATCTATAATTATGGTTTGATCTAATGGTAGAAAAATTTTCTCATTTCTCTCCTAATATGGCTTTCTCATTTGAATCAATATATGTGTGTGTGTATGTATGTATATATGTATGCTGATATGCATTGCATGAAAACGATTATTTAATTAAATTACCTGATCCTTTTGGATTATTGCGACGACCCCACAAATTATTACGACAGCATTCCCTAATGCTACAAGAATACCTAACACGATTTCCATGTTTGTTTTCCTGTGTATCATTTTACTGCTGTTTATCTTGGTTTGCTCTCTAATAATTAATTAAGTAAGTAATTAACAAGAGGCCGGGCCTATATATAATATGCTAAGCAATTCAAGAACGTACGTAGTATGTAATAAAATATTACTAGTAATTTATAAGAATGAATGAATAAGATCGATTATATATATAGTGGCATCCGGGTCACCAATCTATTTATACTGAGCTGAGAGCTGCTGCAGCCTCAGACTCAGACTCGTTAGCATTGCAACAAGACAACAACGGTCCATCGCAACTAACTTTATGCTTCATTTCTTCTTATTGCCTTTTACAAAAGTAATAACTTTCCAGCAAAGAATTATATAAAACAACCTTTATCATCGATAGATGACTTGGAAAATGATAAAAAAACGTAACAACTTAGGTCACTGCTTCTAGAATGTACCATACAAACAAGTCTCTTTCATATTGATTTTCTGTTCCAGCTTCTCTTTTAAAAGTAAAAATAAAATCAAAATCAGTTTGTGAGAAGCTAGTCTCCAATAATTTCTAAAAAACTGTTTCTAGGAGCAATTTTCATCACCCAAAAGCATTTTTATACTTTACCCAAACACTCCCATATTAGTTTCTACTCTCTGAAGAAACAGAAAAAGTTTTAAGAAGCAGACCCAAACACTTCCAAAATTGAAGGTAAGTGTCCGTCCACCAAATTTACACCATGTGTACTTTATTTACATCTAGGATGTATTGATGAAGTATAATGTCGTATACACCCGGAGTCCTGACACACAATTTAAGACAGGAACCCAAAGGGTCATCTACAAGGTGGGTCAAGGCTCCGCGCCGCGCCGAGATTAAAATCACTGTTTAGGCCCAACATCCCCGCGAGCAAGCCCACTCTATTATGGGCCGAACTACATTAGCAAGACCAAGCATGGTCATTATTGCCCTAGGATCATGCACTGACGCTACAGGTCGACGGGATCTGACCCGTCCTGGCTCAATTACAGTTTTACACTTAGTCGTTATCTAGATCATTCCAGCCACGCATCTCTAGGGCTTACGTCATAGTCAATGCAATGTTTGACATCACAATTCAGTTCCGAGGGCCCGACATCAATGCTGGCATCGTCCTACGCTAGCATGATGCAGTGTCTGACATCATTATGTGTATTCCCTAAAGTTATCAAGGGACCCTTGTGATCTTCTTCTTAGTTAGCATTTTTGGCTTAAGAATCATGCCTTTGATTTTGCAAGAGGCCAGGGTCCTTTGACATCATAGATCGATCACAGTAGTTACCAAGTCACTACACTACTAGAGAATGGACATCTCATGTCGGTTATTTTAATTTCATACTTTCACGTCGGTTTTCTACGTGACGTGTAAGTGAGAGACGTTTTAGGCAGGGGCGTAGCGAGGACACTGGGTCGGACTAGGCCGGTACAAAGAATTTTTACAAAAAAAATTACACGAATTTTTTTACCTTAAAAATTAAGTCATTTTTAAAATTTGGGGTGGGCCATGGCCTAGATTGGCCCACCCCTAGCTCCGCCCATGGTTTTTAGGTGTAAATATTTAACGTCGGTTCTAAAACCGACGTAAAAAGTATTTACTATTAAAATAGAAAAAGGTTACCACGTCGGTTTCGCCATAAAATCGTCATCAAAAGTATTGCAAAGATACTACTACGACTACAGTTATTTGCGAGAACCGACGTAATAGGTATTTCATTTAAAAATTAAAAAGGTTACCACGTAAGTTATTATTTAAAACTGACATCATAAGTATTACACAATGAGTCATAAGACGACAGGTGTTCGCGAAAACCAACGTAAAATGGTTTTTTCAACAACAAAATTTAAATACATATAATGGGCTTACCGAAACCATATGTGCATCAAACATTAAATATTTATATACCCTTCAAAAGGTTTAGAATTACGCAAAATGCACCAACTTCTATTAAGAATTCCTTAATTCTGTCCAAATGTACATATTAGAAAGACAAACTAAGATATAATTCTACAATAAACTTTTCTCTCTGGTGTTTACGATTTGTACAACACAAATGATCAAAAAAAATATTACAAGAATAATGTATTGTAAAAACTTATTTGGAAGCAAAGAAATATGAAAACTATGGGAGCACCTAGCCTTTGCACAAAAGCTCAGATCCAAAATCAGCCTAGGAACTTCAAAGAAATGACACAACCTGAAAATGAACATAACGAGAAGTTTAAAGATGTTTTTACTTGTACTGAAATTTGCTGGTATGGTCTGGTTTGATCTGGTAATGTTTGGTCTCTGTGTATTTTTATGACTATCCAAGTCTGGTCTGAACTGGTCATGTTTGGTTTGATCTGATCTGGTCCTGAAAACAGTCCAAGTAATACAAACTGAAGGCTTGAATCAATTTACAACCAAACATTTATACACATTTATCCAAAGTAATACTGAGAGCATAATACAAACTGATGTAAATGAAATCAAAATTTAAGCTTCATCTCCTACACAAATTAAATAAATACCGCAGTTCCTTGACGCACTTAACAATTAAAAAGCATAATAAGAACAACAAACATCAAACATCAAACATAATAACATTTGAGGGTGGTGGCACTTGAAAAATATTTTGTAGTTAGAATTATTAGTAACTAGAAATTTTAAAAATAGATCATAAAATCTAATTGAATTAGAAGTTCATGCATGTAATAAACAACTAAGCACCAACTAACTAATAGAATGAATTATAAACTAATAAAAGTAAAAATCATGTATGTATGATGGAAAACAAATACTCCATAAAAAGAAGCAACAAAGAGATCAGAGATACAACAATAACCCCTAAAGAGCATGAAAGTTACTAATCAAGTTTGTTATCTTGTTTTAGTATATTTTAGCACATTCTAATTTCCAATAAAAACTACGGAGTACTTGTTTTATCAACCAAAAAAATATACAAAACTTTATAGTTACATCAAGATCCTTCTTTAATTTTCCACTTATGTGGTCCCATACCTGCAGGGGCAGAGCCAGGGCACTGGGCCAGATCGGGCAAGTACAAAGAATATTATTGGAAAAAAATTACACGAACTTTTTTACACTAAAAATATTGGAAATTTTTAAATTTGGGGTGGATCAGAGCCTAGCCTGAGCACCCCCTAGCTCCGCCCATGCATACCTGGAACTCGAACAGAGAAACTGAAAATGATTCATTTAGAAACTCAAGATGACATTGAACATGAAAAATTGAAAACATAATAAAAGAACTAATGAGTTTGATAATCAAAGACATTAAGTTTTAGACCTAAAAGAACTGATATTAGTAACTTTCACCAAATTTGGATAATTTTGAGTTTTTGATGAAGTAGTCACATGACTTAAGTATGAAGAGAATGAAATCAGTTTTAAAATTTTGTTCCATACGTCACTGATATGGACAACTGGACGTGAACGGATTTATCCAAAAATATATGTGAACGGATTTACAGTTTATCAAAAACCGGAGCTTTGATTAGTATTTCAAGGTTTAACCTTCCAGATTAAAAAATCATTAATTAATGCATGTGCATTACAATCATGTGATGATTCGAGACTTTTCTATATGAGCTAATTCAGGAACAGAGGAAGTTTGAGCGCAACTTTCAAGAGTCAACACTCACTAGATTATGTGAGAGTTTAGGGCAGGTTAAAATTCAGCAAAGTAAAAACCAGATAAAACAAAACTAAATTCATAGATGAGGTCAACACTCATAGATGCAAATCAAGTGCATGAGATGAAATGGAATGTCTCACATCCAGAAAATTAAGGAACACCTGGATGATCAATTTAGCATCAAGGATTTGGGAACTCTAAAATATTTCCTCGGAATTGAAATTGCTCGTTCTCTCGAAGGATTTGTATTAAGCCAACACAAATACACGCTTGACATTCTCGAAGAAAGTGGTCTCTTAGCTGGTCGTCCTAGTACGTTCCCCATGGAGCAAAATTTGAAACTTCGACCTGATGATAATAGCCCACCTGTAGATGCTTCTTCATATCGTCGACTGATTGGACGTCTATTATACCTCATTGTCACTCGCCCTGACATCGTCTACTCTGTCAATCAGCTCAGTCAGTTTCTCAGTCAGCCGCGCCATACTCACTTTGATGCCTCCATGCGTGTTCTTCGCTATTTAAAACAGACTCCGGGACATGGCCTTTTTTTATCTCCAGATACTGATTTCACCTTAAAGGGTTATTGTGATGCAGATTGGGCAAGGTGCCCCTACACTCGGCGCTCTTGCACTGGATATTTTATCACTCTCGGAAGTTCGCCTGTGTCTGGGACAATGAAAAAGCAATCTGTTGTTTCACGGTCTTCCGCAGAAGCCGAATACCGTGCAATGGCTGTCACCATTAATGAAATCTTGTGGTTGCGATGGTTACTTCAAGACCTTACAATTCCCCAGACTAGTCCTACATCCCTCTTTTGTGACAATCAAGCTACTCGTCACATTGCTCTTAACCTTGTTTTTCTTGAGCGCACTAAGCATGTTGAAATGGATTGTTATTTTGTGCGAGAGTGTGTTGCTAGTGGTGAAATCCAATCATGTTGTATATCTACCACACACCAGATTGCTGATATTTTCACAAAGGCACTTGGCACTGATCACTTCCCGTTCCTCCGTAGCAAACTTAGTGTTCATGACCTTCACACTCCACCTTGAGGGGGAGTATTGAGATTATTTTAATATTGATATTATTAGTTGTACTGCTCATGTACTATCCCTTAGTAAATACACGTTGATAGAGTATATCTAGAGAGAAGTGAGAGCTAGAGAGAGAAGTGCAATAATATGCTTCGATGGAATGAATTTGTCACCCCTATAACTACTCCCAAAGGGAGTATTTATAGAGAAAATTAGGGTTGGGCTCCCAAGCCTTGGGCTTGGGAGGCCTATTTACAACTGGACCGCTACTGGGCCGAATACAAAGCCACTAATGGGTTGTACAAATGAGTAAGTGTAAAATCCAATTCTGGGAGGTCTTCGTGGCCGACAAGGGCGTGGCCGACGAGGGCACGGCCGACGAGGGCACGGCCGACGAGGGCACGGCCGACGAGGGCACCCGGATTCCTTGGACTCAGGACCATAATCCGAGTTGGCCCCTTTTCGGCCGACGGGGGCGTCTTGGCCGACGAGGGCG